TATCTTGTCCACTCTTCCACCGACACAACATATACACACAAACAAACACACGATCTGCACTGGAGTGGGCAACATCGTGCATGAGCCAGGAATGAGTGGCTCATGCAAATCCAAACTCGATCGTGATCGACCAATTGCAGTGACCAAGCAATCCATGTGTTCGTCACGCATCCGTGTGGGTCGTGATGGCGCTCATCGTTTTCATCTGTGGCTATCCAACGAGATCGATGGTCTATCAGAAGTTTATTAACTGTCATCGAAGGAACTGGCTTCGACTTGCCGTGTGTATTTGATGCTGTGTCTGCGCACCCAGAGCTCAAGCAACGTCATGTGAAAGGCATCGTATGCGACGGGGGGATTGTTCCACTCCAGGTGCTTGATCGCCTGGTGGCCGAGGTATTGCATCTCCCGGTGCTTTGTAGATGAGACGTTAGCCAGAATTTGTTTCAGGTTTGGGAGGTCTTCAATGCCTAGCACAACTGCGAACTGCCCCCAGTTTAAGAATCCCTGGAACGGCAGGTCGTGGAAGGTGAGCTTGGAGAGCAGAACGGGGACGCAACCAAAGCGAAGAGCGTCCACTAAGCTGAAGGTGTCATGTGGCAGGACGCTCACACAAAATCTGCTTCTTGCGAGGTTTCGGTACACGGATAAGCGATGCGGGGAGGGATTCGCTTCTACAATGAAGTCTGGGTCAGTTTCCCAGGTGTGAAAGGCTGATAAAAGCGGGGTCGTTACGTCGGGGCAGCCGCTGAAGTAAGCCAGAGATGTGCGGTTCCTTCTCCCGAGAATCGCTTGACGCACGTCCTCCTCCCCGACGGGTTTGTATTGTGGGAATACTACGTCTTTGTGAGGATAGAATTTCTGGTTGTGCCGGAGAGGCGCGCAAGCAGCCTGGATGGAGTTTTTCCCTAACTCCAGTATGTTGCGGTGCTTGCTGTTGTGCTCGAAAGCATGACAGGAGAGATAGAAATGGTCGGCTCCAAGAGAGGATTCCCAGTAGGGGTAGTTGGTTCTCACCTTCTCGAGGTAGCGACGGAGCTTCTCAGCAACTTGAGTGGGGCCGAGGTCGACCCACAGAACGTCGATCGAAAACGGGAGTAGAAATAATTGAGCTCGTTTGGCTTTCTCTGTGACGAATTCGCTTCGTGTCAGAAGTCGGAAGAATAAGTCGGCCGTGCTACTGATCTCCTCCGTCACGTCTTCATCTCCGTCGTAATTATGCTCGTACTTTGTGCTTCCTGCTTGAGTGGGGTACACCCAAATCTGCAGCTGTTCCCGCATCTCCTCGTAACTCAGGGTGAAGACTTTCGGTGAATGGTATAGTTTTGGCAGGCTCTCATGTAGGGCAATAAGATCTAGCTCCGAAATGTCTAATGCTGAAACTGGATCCGAGATGCTGACTTCGACGCCCACTTTGGGCATTCCTTCCAACTTATCCTCCGATTCCAGCGACAGGAGAGACCTTCCGTGTGCAAGAGCTAGTTTTGAAGAATCATTGTTACTAATTTGCGAGATTACTGTGGGAGGAGATTGATTCACGCTCAACTCCCGGGGTGCTCGTGAACATGTGATCGCTGTAAGGAGGAATCCATAAGCTAGCAATAAAGTCAAGTAAGACACTACAACAGTTGGCACCGAAATTTCTCTTGAGATCAAGCCCATGGCTGCCTCTAGTTAATCACTTTCGGAATTTGCCCTGTTAGCCTTCCTATGCCATTTTACCAAACAGCTCCGATTTCAATGAATCTCAGCTCGAGTGGTCTAGTTGCAAACGAATCTGTTCCTACAATGCACTACCTAGGACACCAACACCTGATTGACTGAGCCAGAAACCTGAAAAGGAGAGATGGAAATTGGTTGAACCAGTACTAATTACACTCACTCCACCAAGTTAAACGCAACCTATTAAAATTCGACATTTGAATGCATTCACCACGCCGTTGACTACTCTAGACACCATCCACCGACAAGAAAGCAGTTGAACGCGTGAACACTAAGTCTAAGTCTCAGCTTCGAAACTTCGACAGGGTCAGGATAAAAAAATAAAACAAACACCTGTAATAAAGATGCTAAACAATAAATCTAGACCAAAAATCGCCAACCATATGAAACGGCTGTGACGAGTTCTCCTTGCAAGAGGATGAACTAAACTGGTAACCGATGATCGAACTCGCTGAATGAAGGTCGTGCTTAGCTCTCCATTCAACACTTAAGCAGGCCTCGCTCTAGTTTCACCCTAAAACTTCAACCTCGTTGGCTGGATCTATACCAAGGTGGCGATCTAGCATAGAAACACAGATACAACCAAAACCAGATTCAAATCCGTCACATGAACTCCAAATGCAAAGCAGCAGCAACAACAACAGCAACAGCAACGGAGCCCAGCAATTCGGCAGCCAACACCATTCAGGGCTGCTGCAATGACAATCTCTCTTTTTCTCTCTCTCTCTCTCTCAATCAATTTCAGGTGAGTCCAACTTTCTTTCACTCTTTTTCTCTCCGATTCAACCCCAAACCCTTTCTTCGACGCTTCTTCGAGGAACCCATTTATTTGCACCCAGATACAGACAATGAAACAGAAGCCCAACCTCACCCTTTCGGAAAATCTAGCATAAAATTGGAAGGTGGCGATCGTCTATTGTGGAGGTTGCGGGGTTGACCTTCGACCTAACGCCGCTGCCACTGACCGGTGTCGTTTTCGCGATCTTCGTTCATCCCTCGCATTCGATAATCCATCGATCCATCATAAATCTGTCTTCTTTCAAAAGTTTCATTCACTTATATTCATCCAGTGAGTCGACTGCTGTCGACGGATCTTCGGGTGGCCAGCCGTTTTGCCGGGTGCGAGGGTGTAGGGCCCCCCCTCGTGTCGTCCACGAGGGTGAAGGGCGAGAGAGAGAGACTTATTTGTGGGTTTGCATGTCCACGTCACTTGAGGGCATGCTGTCCACGTCATCTTTCCCGGGCTTCCTACAGTCACCTGTGACCGCCACTTTGGACTCATAAGCCCCAGCCAAGTGCCAAGATGAATAAGACATATATATATATATATATATTAAAATCTCAAGGGAGGTGGAATAATACGACTATAAAAAGTGGGAAATACATATATCTATATATATATATATATATATAAATAATTATTGCAAGAAAGTGTCAAAAAAAGAAGGGGGAGGAGTGTCACGGATATACATATAATTACCTACAAGAGTCGATAAAAGTATGTAAAAGTAGATAAAAGTAGGTTAATCGTGCAATATCTTCTAGAAAAGCTTCTTAGAAGCTTTATAGACGCTGCTTTGACCTTAAAGGAGTCCATAGTTGACTTTTAGGTTAGAAACTTGGTCAACAAGTTAGCCATGTGCCACACATGTTGGTAGCTTGAAGGACAAGCTAACTACGTAGTCCACTCATAAAAAACTTGTCTTGCAAGCAAAGACATGTGGCCTAGAAAGTCAACACATATTGGAGGTCTTATAGAATATCGCCACGTGGCTTCTAATTAGATAGTATATATAGAGGCAAGAGTGAAGCTCTCTTCACTCTTGTCAACTCCTTTCTTGCTTCTAGTCTAGTTTCAAGGGTCTCTAGTTTTCTTGTCTTTTGGCAATAGCCATTCTAGTTTCTCTTTTCAATATACATACTTATTATTCATATTTTGTTACTTTTCTTTGAGTGAAGGCTTACTTGTCTGAACTATTTTTTCATCGAGTTCTTGTCCTTGACAGATTGACAAGAGTGCACTTACAATATCAGAGCTTTGTTTTTCTTGAGTAAGAGTGGATTACCCCTTTCTCTTGACAAGGCATAAGCGTATTAGAAGTTTGCGGATTACCCACTTCTAAACTGATATTGTTCTTAGTATCTTCTTTGTTATCAAGTCTTTATTTTCTTTTGTCTTGAGTAGTATCAAACAAATTTTTCTTCTTAGTGTCATTATGGCAGAGCTTGTTGAAATGAAGAGTGCAATGGCACAATTGCAAGAGCAAATGAGGGAGTTAATGCTTGCGATGCATCAACTCAATTCACCAACACATGAAAGAACAAGAATAGCAGAAAGTAGGGATATAGAGATGATCGGAGCTGCTTCAACATCTACAACAAATCACGTTCCTTCTCCAATTGTACAACACCCTATAAGCACTAGAGAACCAAGAATTGCCTTACCTGAGAAATTTGATGGTACGAGATCAAAGTTTCGAGGGTTCATCAATCAAGTACAATTGGCAATTGAACTTCAACCGCAAAGCTATCCAACTCTAGGATCACAAGTCAGGTTTATTGGCACTCTACTTTCTGGTTCTGCATTATCATGGTTTTCATCTTTTCTTGAACAACGAAATCCAATATTGGACAATTTGGAAGCTTTTTTGGCGGAGTTTCGATCTATGTATGGTGAACACGATGCAACTCATGTTGCAACAAATAAGATCCGAATTCTGCGATAAGAAAATCACTCAGTAACAGTGTATGCTTCACAATTTCGATAACTTGCAATTGACATCAAGTGGGATGATGCTGCACTCATCAGTCAATTTCTTTATGGATTGCAATACGAAGTAAAGAAATTGATGCTCAACTTACCTGATCCTCAAACTTTGAGTGAAGCAATCGATTTTGCGGTAAAATGTGATAATCGACTTTTTGAATTTCGATCTGAGAATCATTCATGGAAACCTCAACGTTATTACTCAATGGCAACATCAACATCTTTGCCAAACGTACATTCGAAAGTAGAAGACATGCAAATTGACGCGATACATTTTAAACCCCTAACTGAGCAAGAAAAGATTCGTCGTCGTCAAGAAGGATTATGTTTATATTGCGGAGAACCTAAGCACACTGCTCAACATTGTCCAAAGAAACGACGCAACTATAAAATGAGGGGTACGACGGTCAAAGAAGACAACATGTCGGAAAACGGATTCGTCCAGCTACAATAGGGACCGTGCAGCTGGAACCTTGTACAATTCCTAATGAAGGTCCTATCCTCTCCTTGTTTTATAATAGACTTATATTTAGGACCTAAGAATTACAAAGCCTCTGCTTTATTAGATTCGGGAGCCTCAGCATGTTTTTTAGATGAACAATTTGTTAAAAGTCGTAAAATACCCTTTGTACAGAAACCTAAACCAGTACATGTAGAAGTCATAGATGGTCGTCCCTTGTCTTCTGGAGATGTCACTCATGAAACTCATCCTATAAAAGTAACAATAGACGGTCATGATAGCTACATAGCTTTTAACATAATTAAATCCCCGTCCAATCCAATTATTTTAGGTTTATCCTGGCTAGAAAAATATAACCCTCGAATAGATTGGAATTCACGTAAACTTGACTTTTCCCAGAGCGTTATTAATAGTTCTACCAACCAAGTAAAAACTTATAAGTCTAGTATAGTAAAACTCGCACTGATAGGTGTAAAAGCATTTATACACGCAGCAAAAGAAGGATCAACTTTTGCTATTTATGCTGCACCTATTTCTGAAAACGTAAAGACTTCAAGTGGCATTCCAAGTCAATATCAGGAGTATCAAGACGTTTTTGAGAAAAAGAATGCAGATATTCTTCCTGAGCATCGCCCATATGATTGTTCAATCGACCTCAAGGAAGGAACTCAGCCACCATTTGGACCAATTTACAGTTTATCGCAAGATGAGATGGCTGAACTCAAGACATATATTGACGAGAATTTAGCGAAGAATTTCATACGCCATTCAAAATCTCCAACAAGAGCTCCAATTCTATTCGTAAAGAAAAAAGATGGATCTTTACGAATGTGTGTTGATTATTGAGGACTCAACAAGATCACAATCAAGAACAGGTATCCATTACCTTTGATATCAGGACTCCTTGACCAGTTGAATCAAGCTAAGATCTATACAAAAATAGATCTAAGAGGAGTATATAATCTAGTACGGATCAAAGAAGGAGATGAATGGAAGACTGCATTTCGAACCAGGTATGGACATTTCGAATATAATGTCATGCCCTTTGGACTCACGAATGCATCAGCTGCTTTTCAACATCTCATGAATGATGTATTTCGTGAATTCTTAGATAATTTTGTCGTCTATTATCTAGACGATATCCTAATCTATTCTAAGAACATCGAAGAACATGAAATACATGTTTGTTAAGTATTACAAAAACTTAGAGATGTAGGATTGTACGCCAAGATGGAAAAGTGTATATTTCACACTACTCAAGTTGACTTTTTAGGATACATCATTTCAAATCATGGTCTCATGATGGATTCTAAGAAAGTCCAAACAATCATGGATTGGAAGATTCCAAGGACAGTAAGAGATGTCCAATGTTTCTTGGGATTTGCCAATTACTATCGGATCTTCATCAAAGATTTTTCACGAGTTGCAGCTCCACTTACACGCTTGACTAGTAAAGATAAATTTCAATGGAATCAAGAAGCGGAAGCAGCATTTGAAGCCTTGAAGACATCGTTTGTCTCTGCACCAGTCTTATATCGTGTTGACTTTTCCAAGGCATTTTTTATGGAAACAGATGCATCAGATTTTGCCTTGGGTGCAGTTTTATCACAAATGGGAACAGATGACAAACTTCATCCGATAGCTTTTCATTCAAGAAAATTCTCAGCAGCCGAGATCAATTATGAGATCCACGATAAAGAACTTCTTGCAATCGTGGATTCTTTTCAAGAATGGCGTCATTATCTAGAAGGTGCTTCTAGTCCAGTCATTGTGTATACAGATCACAAGAATCTCGAGTATTTCATGTCAGCACGCGTGTTGAATCGTCGTCAAGCTTGTTGGAGTATGTCTTTGTCAAGATTCGAGTTCATTATCACTTATTGGCCAGGAAAACAACAAGGTTTGTCCGATGCCCTATCTAGACATTCTTATTTTGCACCAAAAGAAGGAGATGCAGCTTTTGAGCAACAAAGAACGGTCCTCTTGAAACCGGAGCAATTTCATCTCCGAGCAATGAAATCAACATTGACTGTTGATTCAACTTTTCTCAAGCAAATCCAGTCCAGTATGTCCTCAGACCCTCTTGTTTATGATATCGAGAATAATTCTTCTAAGTCTCATGATCCTTCTAAGTTCGAGTTCAAGAATAATCTATTATATTTTGAAGGACGCCTATATGTTCCAGAAGGAGAAGCACGTTTACGTGTTCTTCAAGCACGTCATGACTTTCCAACAGCAGGGCACTTTGGATATAATAAGACTTTGGAACTCATATCAAGAGATTTTTGGTGGCCACAAATGTGGAAGTCAGTCAAAGACTTTGTACAATCATGTGATATTTGTTCAAGATCAAAAATTCCTCGTCATCGACCTTACGGACTTCTTCAGCCATTACCTATACCAGAACAACCATGGTCTTCTGTTTCTATGGATTTCATCACAGATCTTCCAAGCTCAAGATCTTATGATTCTATATTTGTGATAGTAGATCGTTTCACCAAGATGGCACATTTTGTGCCATGTACAAAATCTATCACAGGTGAAGAAACAACTAAGCTTTTCATTGATAATATCTATCGCTATCATGGATTACCTAAAGATATCATATCAGATAGGGGAACTCAATTTGTGTCAAGATTCTGGAGGACCCTTTTCAAGATTTTAAAAGTGGACATAAAGCTATCTTCGGCTTTCCATCCTCAAACTGATAGACAAATAGAGCGCGTAAACCAAGTCTTGGAGCAATATTTAAGGTGTACTATCAACTACCAACAAGATGATTGGACAACCCTTCTGCCATTGGCAGAGTTTGCTTATAATAATACGGTACATTCTTCTACGCAACAAACACCTTTCTTTGCCAATTATGGCTATCATCCACGACTTGATACTTTTGATTTTTCAAAAGTTGATAATCCTGCAGCAGAGGATATGGCAAATCGGTTGTCAGAGTTACATGCAATAATGAAGACGCAATTGAAGGAAGCTCAAGAATGACAAAAGATAAACGCAGATCTATATCGTAACGAGCAACCACAACTCAACGTGGGTGATAAGGTATGGCTACTTCGTCGCAATATCAAGACTACTCGACCTTGTGACAAGTTGGACTATCGTAGGCTTGGCCCCTTTTCTGTTTTTGAACAGATCAACCCAGTTGCATATCGGTTACATCTACCGGAGTCAATGAAGATCCATCATGTATTCCACGTGTCTCTTCTTGAACCATATAAGACAGTGGATATACAAGGAAGAAGATAAATGCCACCGCCTCCTATAGAAGTAGATAATAATGAAGAATTTGAGGTGGAAGAGATATTAGACTCAAGGCGGCGCCGAAATAAGCTGGAATATCTTGTTCATTGGTGCTGATATGATATTAGTGAACGCACATGGGAGCCATCCAGGAATCTAGCAAATGCATCAGCTAAAGTCAAAGTTTTTTATCAACGACATCCATCAAAACCAAGATGAAAATCTCTCTTATAAAAGAGACAAGATTGAGGCAAGATAACATTCAATTTCCTAGCCTTGTTTGTAACTTCTTTGCATTTGTGACGCTAATTAGATGGAGAGCCAACAACCAGTGGATTCAACTCAAGAACCTTCGTTTGCTGACTTACCGGATGCGACATTGCGATTGTCACAACCTTCAAGATGACGCAACCGAGATGAAGACCCTCAAGAACGACATGTTCTTCCTCGAATAGATGGTGAGATACAACGCGTTTGGTATCACGACCTTGGAAGAGATTCTCGATGTTTGGTGATATTACTGGAGATAGGAACGACTGTTGATGGTGTTTCAAATGTATTATTTGAAGGAAGTTATGACGGCCTCAATAATGATCAAATAACAGGGTAGTCTTCTCGCCCTGAAATGGGACACTATCGATGGCTAAGAGGACCCATCAACTACCTTCGAAGAGAACAGAGATCAGAGTATGTAGCAAATACTATTCGCCGCATATTAGACTTTCTCAACATATAATCACCGCTCCTCGTAGAACTCGTCCCTAGAAGGGGGGGTAATGTCACGGATATACATATAATTACCTACAAGAGTCGATAAAAGTATGTAAAAGTAGATAAAAGTAGGTTAATCGTGCAATATCTTCTAGAAAAGCTTCTTAGAAGCTTCATAGACGCTGCTTTGACCTTAAAGGAATCCATAGTTGACTTTTAGATTAGAAACTTGGTCAACAAGTTAGCCATGTGCCACACATGTTGGTAGCTTGAAGGACAAGCTAACTACGTAGTCCACTCATAGAAAACTTGTCTTGCAAGCAAAGACATGTGGCCTAGAAAGTCAACACATATTGGAGGTCTTATAGAATATCGCCACGTGGCTTCTAATTAGATAGTATATATAGAGGCAAGAGTGAAGCTCTCTTCACTCTTGTCAACTCCTTTCTTGCTTCTAGTCTAGTTTCAAGGGTCTCTAGTTTTCTTGTCTTTTGGCAATAGCCATTCTAGTTTCTCTTTTCAATATACATACTTATTATTCATATTTTGTTACTTTTCTTTGAGTGAAGGCTTACTTGTCTGAACTATTTTTTCATCGAGTTCTTGTCCTTGATAAGGAGTGGTTGAGGATTTTATTTAATTTTATTTTTATTTTTCCCATGAAAATACAACGCGTGGGCTCTACTCTCTCTTCCCAAGATAGATAGATTGATAGATAGATTGATAGATAGATTGATAGAGTGCATTGGGTCACCATTGCCACCTCCTTTTGCTACTCCATGGTTTCCCCCAATTGAGGATTCAAAAGTTGCTGAAATATGGCTTCTACAATAGTAGGTTTCAAAGGTGGAGAATATTATTTTGATACATTCTTTGATTTAATTGCTTTAAATAAGATTAAGTCTTTATTGATGCTTGATTTTGGCACTGTCTAGTTTGCTAAGATAAAAGGATTAAAAGGTGAGTCTTACAAGAAATAAATGTAACCTCTTGTGCCACTCATCCTTGCATACATACAATAAATTTCTTACTTACACTAAAAAGTTTTAAATTAAATTTTTATTAAGAGATTTTGTAAGTGCAATTAAAAATCCATTTAAAGTAATTTAAAATATATATATAAAATTGTTTATAATTTTTTAAAAATTTAATCAAAAAAGAAAAGAAAAGAAAAATAGTGCCATAAGCCATTGCACACAAATGTTAATGTAAATTTATCCTAAAAGTTTTTAGTGTAATTAAGAATTGTATTGTGTCTATATAGGAGAGCATGATATAAAGGGGGTGTCTATGCAATAAAAAGGAGGTGTTCACCTAGTGGTTATGATAATAAAAAAAAATAACATCTACTTTTATATAGAAAAAAATTAATTTTTTTAGGTATTTTGCACATGTAATGCTTAACACATGTCTTTAAAAAATTAAATCTAAAAAAGTTAAATATTATTTTATTTTTTCTTTCCATTAATAAATTTATTACAAATTACATAAGGCTATATTTGAGACTAAATTATAAAAACCATCTATTTATTGTTTCTATAAAATTGATCTATTTTTAATAAATGATGTAGAAGTTAATAATTCATACTTGATTCTTTTTAAAATATTTTACATTTAAATTTATATTTATAGAAATCAGTTATATACAAAGAGAGAGTCAATAATGAATTTTTTCTTTAAAATATTTAAATTTAATAATATTAACGTTGAGCCTCCAATAATAGTATAATTGGATTTTATAAATCTCAATTAAGTTGTGTTATTTTTGTTTGTTTATTCATCAAACATTTTAGAATGTTTTAATATTCTTAGTTGATTTTGGCATCACACAAAATTATTAAAGATTGTTACACATATTTTCTAAGCACTTAGATTTGGAAAGAATAAAATAAAAAGTGGCATTTTTCCCCAAAAAAAAAAAAAAAAAAAAAAAAAAAAAACATCTTTTTGAAATTTAATTCAAAAAATGTTTTTTTTACCAAGTATACAAATTGATTTAAGATTTATTTATTATTTGATTTTTAAAGTTTTCTAATCTATTTAAGATAAATAACTCTAGATAAAATCTTTAAAAACATATCTTAGTGCTTTTTTGAATAGATATCGATTTTGTTTCATTATTCTCTTATTATTTGTGCACTTATCACCAAATAATCATCTACAAAAAGACGAAAATCAAATTATAGAACCATATGAAAATGGTATTAACTATCAACAAAATAATAGTATATGTAGTTTGTCCTTGGTCTAATTTTTACAATATCACTATTTATCCAGTTTTCCAACAAATTTTTTTTTTAATCCATACGTAATTATTCTAAATTGAATATGCTTTAGTGTTAAAATATTTGTCTACACAAACCAATTACTTGATATACAAGCAAAAGTACAGATTCACGTGGAAGAAGCCCTAGAGCATTATGTAATATCAATTACTCTTTAAGAAACAACTGTTCTGCCAAATTAAAAATAGAATTGAACATTAAGCATTCAACATGATTCTTTTTATAAAGAACTGCCCAATAATACAAATTGAACATATATCAACTACATTTCTTACTATCGTTTGCAAGTCCAAGAGGTACACAGATGGAGGAAATGTAAGTTATTTACTACACCTTATCAAACACGAGGAATTTGTAAACGTGGTAACTTCTTTCGTCTATTAAAAACTCATCTCCACCTGATGTGAAATATGGTCAATTTAGTCATCACAATGACGACATTGCGTTAACATCATAAGAATGACTACTCCAATTCTAAATTTACGTCTAGACGATTTCAGGCAGGTTTCTACAACTACAGCTATCCCAAGGAGAAGAAATAAAATAAAATAAAAACTCTTCATGGATACAATATAATACATCGTTAAATTCTGTTGACAAATCAGTTGCTTAGTAAAGACTTCATCATCAACAATATTATTAAGATGAGGTTACATTGGAGGCTGACTGTCGAAGTTCAAGATACTGTCTCCGCAGGTCCAAACTTTTGAGACGCTCAGCTTCAAGAGCTACTTCAAACTGCCAACAATCAAGTTCATATATTCCAAGTTAAAGTTGTGTGTAGGGCAGAATTAAACCAACGTATTTCAATATTACTTTTTTAAAAAACAAAAACAAGCTTTTCTATCTTGTGTCACTTCTCTGAGTTAAATCACACTTGATGACCAGGGAGTGTGTATCACGTGTTAAGACCAAAACAATTGCAGACTAACGAGATGTAGGTAATGCACATTTTATGCTAAGACTCTGACTGAAGAAACACACAAGGGGTTTGCCAATTTCCTTTGTTACTGCTAATAATCGTTCTGTCAAGACAACTTACCTTCGCTGTGCGGACACTCCACTCATCCAATTCAGCTCGCAAGCCTTCATTCTCTTCCACATACTGGTGTGCAACCAACACACAGTGGATCAGCTACACCAATATTACGTACATAGAAATCCCGCCAAAGCACAAGATAAATCCAATTTGAATCCAAAACTGAACCCCGTGAGATAGATGAAACGCTTTTTCCTGCAAACCACTATTCGCGTAAATGAAAGAGACCATTCAACACAATGAGTAAATTCACAATTTGAGGGCAAGATCTTGCCTTGTCATTCTCTGATCGTACAGCTACCAGGTCAGACTCTCGTCCACCTATTAGACTTCGTGCTGTCTTCACCTCATCCTGCAAAATATCCCTCTACCAAAAGCAGCAATAGTCAAGAACGAAGAGGTAAAATATTAAAACCCGTGCCAACAGTCCGTTCAATCGTCAATAATAAGTATATGGTAGACATATAGTACCTCAGCAGCAATGGCTCGCAATTCTTGTTCTCTTGTGTCTAGGAGATGTACCAAGTCGACCTGAAAAATTCAACGCATGAGCATCCAGCAGAATAAATCATTCCACAACAAAATCCACGAGTGCATGCATTACATTTAGGGCACGCATCGATCACTGACGCTTAAGTGAAGACTGCTTAAAGCAAGCCGATTTAGAGTTAAAGGGGACTGAATTCATTGATTCAAATTAGACCAATTTGGAGGCATTGGGCACATATACATCAAGTTCCAAGAATATTAACACAGTTGCAAGAGCTTAAACATCTTCATACCAATGGTGTAGTGCTGCCATCCTGAGAGCGCTCGTATTCAAACTTTCTTTTCTGGAGCCTAGAAAACTGTACACCAGAATCATCCGAGAAAAGACGTAATCAAACAAAAGGTAGCAGAAAAAATGAGTACCGAAATTAGGTAATTCTTGAAACGCTTTATGTGAAATCGAACATATTTCGGAGACAAAATAACCGCCCGGCTCAAAGCACAAATACTGTACCCTAAACTATGTAGGATGTACCGCCTTCAGCCTGATCATATACCAAATCTTGTGATTGACTCATACCTCCTTGTGAAGGTGTTGAAGATTATCCATTTGGTAACGAATAAGTGCCGCTTGCTGCTCCACTAATCCTCCCCGCTCTGTGTACCTGCATATTCTTACCACAGATCAACATCCATGCAATAGCTTTATCAAGGCACATTCACAAGATTCGGACAGAGTACACTCCTAACCTTGAGTGCATAGCTTACTGAAGTTCAACCGTTCCACACATTCACGAGTATGAAAAAATAGAGACACAACAGAAACGCATCACCTGATGCCCCTCAGCGACTCCGGAGGTTGCAATGGAGAGTAAAGAGAGTGCATGGCATCTGGCTCACAATCAATCAAGTTGTGATGGCGAACCTTCCCTGCATTCACCAGACTCCTAGAATCATTTACTCCAATGATAATACACAATATTTGTGGTACACGAAAGTTTGTTGAAACATTTTTGACACTTGTACTCATACTTGGCACTCATTTGAAGGCAGACGCGAATTGCAAAACTCAACCTTGATTTTAGTCTAATACCACATTGCCTCTTCGTTAGCTATTAGTAAATATACTTTGCAAAGGTGATAAAGACAAGTTACATGAATCTTGCGAATCAGACAGGACGCCTGCTGCAAGGCATACTAAATAGTTTGAGGTAGTTTATGAAACGAAAAGAAATCCTTTACATAGTTCACTAGTGCGTTTTCTAGTTCATTTCACACGATTAAAAGACGGAATTTTTTTATCATTTAAAAGAAAAAAGGATCAAACAAACAAGGCTCTCCTTGTTAAGTAGCGGACTCTCACATATAAAAGTTCCAACCAATGCTGCAGCACATACAATCTGCACCAGAATGACAACCCTGTATGAGCAATAATAACAAGGTTAGTCTAATGAAAAGCGAAAGAAGTCATTCGTCAAACAAGTCACTTCGACCACACTATAGAAGGAATCCAATATGCTAATCAAATCAAACCATCACGTTCCCATCCTGCCTTGACTTCAAAGGTCGTAAATCCGATGATCTCATGCTACATTATATTCGAAGAGAAAAAAGAAAAGACGAACCGCAACAGAAGCAAATGAGGAATATCCAGTTGCTCCTGTAGATCCCATGCAACCACCACTAAAATCGAACCAGTTCCTGAAAGTCACCATTACAAAGTCTTAGAACCGTCTAGCAGATATCAATAGAGGGATACGAAAACAAAAACACGAATTAATAAGATAAGATCAAATAAAATAAAATAAAATAAAAAACAGCTAGTGAACTACGATTAATTATCGTGAGTAATAAAACTCATGCAACACACGGGAAATGCATAACTAGCAACATCATTACATTCATAATTGAGAAGAGAGAAAAAGGGGATATAGTACCGTAAGCGACAACCTTGAAAGGCAAGTATACAATCCACTCAAGGTTGGCACTAAATTGAAGAAAACCCTAGGGAAACCAAAAAGTGATAAGTGGACAGAGATCTTAAAACACATGTGAAAATAAAAAGGGAAAGCGTTGAAAATAGCCGTGTAAGTAAGTGAAGCTATGGGTCAGATGAGGCCGAGGCAATGCACGTCAAAAAGCAGAGGGTTGTCTTTACCTACATCTAGGTGTGAAGGTCGTTATTATGTATTGACGTGATACCAATTACAAAGTCAACATGAGTAGTGAAGAATACATACCTGGTCCCGTTCTTTCTTCAATTGCTTGCACAGATGCTGTTGCAATAAACCTACATTTTCCAGCAATAATTAACACCATTAAACCCACTTCAACAATGATCATGCACAATAGCTCTACACAATTAAATTAACCCCACATAGATAATCGCACCATGAGTTGACAAAGAGGAAGGAAAATGTAACAGTTGCTCTTTTTACAACGTCGTGAAAGCGTCAGTCGCTATGCAGGTATCTCCTTAACTAACTATGTCTACAATGCAAGAATCCAAACAAACAGGATTTTTGCTCTTGCTATTCTTCATGGTTTCTAGGATGGAAGAAACGACTGCATTAAGCAGATATGTATATACAACCTAATCAGTCCAGAATAATACAGAGAATAAGTATGACGGCCCCAGAAAGGAACAGGAAAACAGATTATCCAAATGAACCTGTGATAGCCAGCATTACAAGATTGCACAGAGCAAATATTGGCGCGTGATTGATAGGCGTTAACTTGGGTATCCATGCAGACGTGACTACCAGAACCGCGTAGGCGCCCTGTTAGCACAGCCGAGTGTTCCATGTCAACAAATGCCTCAAACTAGGAGCCTCGCTACATTTAAGAGCTACCTCAAAGCAATGAAAACACTGAGGCTTGGCAGGCAATGAAGTTGGAATAAGTACAAGATAAATGCAGTAGAGTGCACTTCCAATAGTACTGGCTTTCTGCCGCCAACCTGACTGTGGTAGCTCAGGTATTACGTCTGTAAACCTGCGATTCAAAACACAAGGAAATCGAAATTCGAGCTATATGAGGTAAGGAAATCGTTTTGTACCATGCAATCACAATCACTAAGAACGTAATCACCGCTTCAAAGAGATTGATTTTTAACAATGCCATAGATCAAGGGCGATCTGCATTATATGGCTCATGTGAAGGAACCGTTCCAGAATGCATTGCAACTGCACAGTGAACATTTTCTAGCGCGCTGGTTGTAAAAATTTCAATCCGGCATCACGATTTTGCAGCACTAGAAGATGTGATATGAACTTGATTGCAAACGAGTGTGGAACGAAGAATAGCAATAAAAACTGAATATGAAAACTTTAAGTATGTGAGAGAGGAGTGGATGGAAGGGATACAAACTGATTGGGGTTGATTGGAATATCTGTGGAGGCTTGCCGAGGATCTGAATTCGCCTGGACTGAACCCTGCCATCGTAACATCCCGCTTCACTGTATCGCTCTTCAATCACCCTAACCTCAAGCCTCCTCCGCCCTCCCAGTTCTTTCCGCGACAAATAAACTGCAAACTCCTTCCACTCCACGACTTGGAACAAGCAGCAAGACCTTCAAATCATCCACGACGTCTATTTCTTCAAAGCAGTAACCACACTCCACCAAATTCAAACAAATCAAATCATTCCCCGCAGTTCGACGTCCTTCTCTCTGGTCTCAGATTAGCAGTAAACATCGAAATACCGCCAGAATTTTCTTTAGCACCAAACCAAGAACCCACCCAGCTACACCAAAAACATTAACATCAACACATGATTACAAGACGATGCCAGAAAATAAAAAATACAAAATACAAAATTACCCCCGAAGTCAATAAAGACAACAAAAGCTTCCAACCCCGCTTACCAAGCAAAGCCACGCTTAATGACGAACCTCCCGACGAACAGAAGAGCCACAGAGCGCAATGTCCGCAACTTCCAACTCCAGATCGCAGAAACGAACGCCTCGAGCGCCAAATGAAGCTCAACTTCCGAAGCTTGCGAAGGCGACAAACACCGCAGAAGAAGCAAAAAAAAATCACACACGCTCTCTCTCACTCACTCACCAGCAGTGTAGCCACCTCATCGTGACACCCGGCTTGGGTATATCTATACCCGGATAATGCACCGTTTTCTGAAATACCTGGACTTGGCCATGTGTGTCCCTTTGATACCCTCATCCCACCATGATACCATGTTATACCCGTATATGTCTCGGTTATGGGTCTTGTCCCGGATACCAGCTAGGTGCATATATCCACGTCCGGGTGTCAATCAACCCTTTTGGATGGAGTGGTCTTCGCGGGTATTCATCATCCATGGGACGAATGGTAGTTCATGGAATTGGTCTTTTCATTCATCCCTTCTTCTTTCTTGCTTGCTTGTTGCCAATCCTTAAGCATAATCCCATATTTTAATTAGGCTCCACAACCTCATTTCTACACAAAATATACAACATGCTACATTCTACCACTACTCTAACTTGAATTAACTCGAGAGAAATCTTATCTTCCATGCTTTTAAAATAGGAAATTAGTTGAGGGTTGATTTCAATTTTTGATTTTTGATTTGTGATTATTATTATTTTTTAAATTAAAGATTTAGGATTTGTTGTTAGATAACTTTAACTTTGGTTTTACAGATTTTAAGATTAGGACTTGTTGTTTAGCTTTTATTTGTAATCTGAATATAAAAATAAAATACGATATGTTATATATTTATTCATCTCTGTAAATTTTCAAGACATGTTTATCTGCAATAACATTATCTGCAAGCAAATAAATAAGAGTACATGTTAAATTTTAAGATTACTTGTAATAAAATTTTAAAAACATAGTTTATGACTTGAAGAGTGTATCATGTAAGCAAACTCAAAATTTATAAATCCAAGAAAAGATCAATGAAAATAACAGCAAAAAATCGTGTTTTTAGAAATAATCATATATATAAAAACATATAGTTTAAAATGGATTTTTAACTTTTGAATAGGAAAAAAGAAGAAAGAAAAAAGAAAAAAGAAAAAATCTTCTTCTTACAACGTATTTATGAAACTCAGTTTTAAAAATAATTCAAATCTTTTGAAAACTAACTTCATCATACACAATTGATCTTTTTCAATTGTTTAACAAAACGCACTTATAAGTTCAGCTATTTAAGTGCTTCATGTTGCATCTAATTAAAAATACACCCAAGATCAGATTTTAAGGAAATTGTTCTATATGTCTGTGTGTGTGTGTGTGTGTACTGTACTGATTACATACTTAAACAGGTAAAAAAAAGTAACAAATAAATAAATAAAATAGCTATTTTATCATTTATTCATTGTATAGGATTTCTTTTTTGAATAAGTAAATTTAGACAATTATAAATTTATCCACCCTGAAATTCCAACATATTTTTCAAACAAAAATCTGAAGATATTACTGCAAAACTTCACCAAAACAGTAGAAAGTACCCCAACATCCAATCTGAAATAACATTTTTAACATTGAAAAATGATTACCACAACTTTAGACCGTGTTTTAACAAGTTATTTAAAATAAATAAATAAATAAATTTCCAATTACTATTATATTCATAAGTCATAATACTAAAACTTTTAAATGCAATTTCAATACAAAAGTGCATTTCTTTTCCTTAAGTCTGTGGCTTAGAGTCCAGGGACCACACAGTTCCAGGACATAAAAATGAGTTTTTCCAAGGGTTAGGAAGTCCATTAGTTTTTGTGTGGTTCGATGTGAATCTTTGGGCTTAGCAAATTTCGCCAGGTGAAGCAAATTAATTGACTAAGAAATATCACTGTGCAGGTTGGTGCATGATGATGAACCAACAATCAACAGGACATGTGCTTCGTGACTCAAGATGGATTTTATACACTTAGGGTCATCTAAACCATTGCAATGCTATTGAATTGCGTGTTTCTGTTTCTGAAGTTGGTTTATGTGTTCGTTTGTTTGTTTTCTTTTTTCCCGACCATCTCCTGGTGTCTATATTCCTGTGTAATGATTGATCAAAATTGCTGCACCTTGTCTAAATGTAGGATTAATTCATGCTTAATCATCTCAAGTAGCAACCATCTTCAGCAGCTCCTTATGTTTCAAATGCCATGGAAACCAGCAATTTACATAAGAGATGGGTTGATTTGAGATGGGCCACTGTCTGCTACCAGCACAGTCTTTCGGGACAGAAGTGAGATGTCCCTCTGTAGATTCTCAAGCTCTTGTTCATATCTGCACAGAAGTGTTGAAAAGTGATAGTAGAAATTTAGGCCTCTTGGAAGAGACGATGTTTTATCGTGTTAAGACTTGAACTTATATGTGCCGCTCTATGACATTAGTTTCTGAAATAGTAGTCATCTAAGTTTCAATAACCCACATGAAATGTTGTCAATGGGTTGTTTAGTAAAACAAATAAATCACGCATCATGGCTAACACAGAATTCCTATGCAAACTAACACTCAAGTAATTTGTAACTCTTTTCGCTCCTCGCTATCAAAATACCTTTCATGAAAGGTGTCAAGCATACCACTTAGAGGATTCATTGAATGTGTGATATTTATAAGGCAATTAGAAATGTGATCAGGAGAAGGAGCGAAAAAAAAAAAAAAAAACCTGTTTTTCCGTATCTTTTGGGCGTCCGTGTCGGCAATGAAGGGGAGTTTTAGGTATTCCGCATTTACTACAGCCCATTTGATCTTTAAACCATTGACTATCTTCTGCTTTTCATCGCCTTCTAGTCTGAGTTTTGGCAATAACAATGACATCAGTATAAGACATAAATTAGTGAAAGACCTCCTAAACAAAGTAATGCAATCAATACCTGCACTGAACAGTGTTGCCTGTTTGTCAAAGACCATCTTTGAAACACCAATGTGGATTCTTCACCACCATGCACCACACAAGTACTTACATTACATATTTATTTGCAATCTCGTCGGCAGGAAGAACCAATATGTCTGAAGCAGTCGGTGTTTAGTCATGACCTGCGAGTGCCTGGATGCTGGCACTTGTCCTGTTTCTCAGCAATACCCTTCGCAATAATCTTAGCAATCTCATTTTTTCTCTTGACCAGGTACATCGGCAACCTTCCGAAGCCTGGCTTTTCATGTTCCAATACCTCCTTCCTTGGACAGTGGGACCTATCGGCCTCTACCCTTCAAAAAAAAGAAAATCTCGTTGCGCTACATTCTGGATTGGTCTCACCTTACAGTCTCTATGTGTGCCTAATATTTGAAACCTTGATGACATCAGAGGAAAAGGCCATTGATATCCAAGTAGGGCTCGATCTTACTTGCTTTGATCACTCTCTCTGCATTCGAGTAAATGTAATCAGTATCGCTCTTGATGCCATACCTCTGCATGAACGGCATTTTTTTTGCAGGGTGAGTGTTTTAAACGATATATTTATGGACTTACCTATAGTTAGTCGCTTAACCTGAAAGGTTCACATCTCATCAACTTGAAGAAGAAGTCAACGTGCCAGTATACTAGCCTTAAATGATTAAACGATTAAACTGCAGAAAAATTAACTTTTGTCCATAAATAGTGTTACATGCGCAAGCTTCAAGTTTTGCAGGTTGCTTTTCGACTCTCTTCACTGGACACCTCGACATCACTAATAGAGATTGCTTTTACTTACAAGGGTATGCTACGCAGAGTTAACTGCGATCTTTAAATAACGAAGGAACAACAGTCGAAACGGAAACTCTGGATGAATCGGTTTATGAAGAAACACATCTTACAGGGGGTTGGTTTGTCAGATCTGGAAGAGGAGCCTTTTTTGACGTACATCTATCCGTTGCAATGGTGCCTGCAATAGTTTGTGGGAAAAGTCTCCCTCAGATTTCAAACAATAAACATAACTCTTACAATTCATAGAAAAAGCGTCAAGGAAGCAGAGGTGCACTATCAAAATGAAGAATAAAAAACGTTGGTAAAACGGCATTGTTAGATTAAACTTAGCGGAAAGTATCAATGTTTGAGCTCCCAAAGGTGGAAAGACTGGCAACGATGAGGATGTGGTACGTTTAACTGTTAAATTTGGCTCCTTCGAGTGCTTCCGGAGAAACTTGCTTGGCTGAGGTTTCGTAGAGCCTGGAAGTAATCCAAAGGTGGCGGTCTCTCGCAACTTCATATTGTTCTTCATTCTCCATAGCAAAGTCTTAACCGTAATCGGATCCTGCACATTCTTCAACCAGTCCTAAATTTCTTTTCATATGTAAATTTGAATCCTAAACTTGCTTCAATTCTCATATCCCGCTGTCTCCAAAACACAACAATGACGTACAGCAAAAATCACTGTCAAGCTCGACAAAGTTTGGCCAGAAACGACCACAATACCACCACCCTCCCTCCCCGCTTCCCACCCTCTCCCTCTTCATTGTCGCTATGTGAAATACATCTCTCGTTTCAATACATTTCAATAGTTTGAGAGGATCTCTGTCGCAAAAACAAAATCCACGACTTCAAAGCTCATGCCAAACCCTAAGCAAATGTTACACAGAAGCCCTGCCAACAATCGTCACTCACACTAATGTGGCTGCCGAGAAATGTAAGCGTATGGATAGGGCTTAACGCCCTCATGGCTGTCTTCTCCATCACTACCTTGTACATAAATGCAACAACAAATCTGAACAAGGACTGTAGCGCACCAGTGCCTTGTCAGGGGCTTTAGGCGGCGTCCTTGCCTTCTTCAGAGCAGGCTTGGTGATAATATTGTACACGCTCTCCTTTGAATCCCACATGGTATCCTCCTGCTCCAGTAAAATCCTCCCCTACTCGTGCTTTTCCGACCGGATTCCTTTACCACTCTCTTCTCATCGTCATCCTCTTCAACATGTTCACTGCACATGCACCTTCACCGTCACGAGCCTCCTCATGCTTAGGACACAGAGCGCAAAAATGCTGTAAATAAACAGCACCGTTCGCAAAATTTCCGCTAAAAAATTAACCACAGCTCATGTTTTCCCATGGCAAAGTCATGTCCGCGATTGCCTGAGTGAAGTACAACTAAACATGAGAAGAATCAACAGAAGCACCGGTCAAATGAGGAGACCAAAACAAGAATCCCTTTCTCTGGCCTCATACCAAGCGACAAGCTGTCTGCTCTGTGTGCGATCGATGTGGATCAACCGAGCCTCATCCGACAACGCAGATTACTGCAACAGTCGCGAAAACAAGCTTTGCTCCTCAGCTTAGATTAGGTCAATTTCTCAGCGGCGCTTTCTTCTGGTTCCTTACAATGGACGCGGCTTCTCGGTCCACGTTAATGAGCATCATCAACTTCCATGCAGCAGTAGCAGCATCGCTGCTTTCCTGTGGTCGGCATTACAGAACGCCTCTCTTCCCTCGCATGAGAAGGACGCTGTTCACTGGGAGGCATGAGGCAGGTCCTTCAATCTCTAGTTGCAATGCAATCAACTGCTTACTGAATGCGGTTGTAGAGGACGTCTACAGGCTACTTTAGTAGAGGGCGATTATGCACCGAATGTGTTTTGGTTAGCTTGGATATACACGCATTCAAGGGTACAGGAAGTGAATGTTACAAGGAGAGTGAATTGATGTAGAACAATTGGAATACAGTCACTGCCAAGTCTCCTGAGTTTTCTGTTTCATACAGCACACTGAAATAAATAAATAAATAAATGTACTTAAACTAGATTAGTGTACGCTGGAGGACCTCCATATAACGTGAAGTGGAAAGAACAAAACGAACAGCTTCTGAAACAACAGGAATGAGAAGGCATTACTTGACAGCATCTCCAGCTTGAGCACACCAAAACAATTGGTTAGTAAAGGGCGACCACTGTTGGTGCATGCATTTGTTTCATCATGCAGCCTATCATTTGAGATGACTTGGCATTTAGCCTCAAGGAATTTTCCAACGTTACTTTTCATGATTACATGGCTATGGCCTACAGTCCCACTTCCATCTCTGTTGAAACAAGCAAACGATCACCACCACACTGTACGAGCACATTCACTCTCCTCCTATGACTCTTGATCATCATCTTAAACGGAGCTTTTATCTGCATCGACTATCATATCAGTTTCGGCCTGCAGCCTGGAAGGTGGATTCTGGGGCGCAAGAGGACTTGGTGTTGCATGTCTAGGACTCGACGGATGCGTGATGATCTCAACATCCTTGTTTTCCGGATATCTTACAACAACGACTGGGCAATAACAGTGATGGAGGCAGTAATCACTGACACTCCCCAGACGACCTTTCCGAGCGCGTTTAGAGGCACCAAACCCTGGATGACAACAAAAACCACACAGTTTGATGAGACCTCGCGGAAAAGATTGCGAAAGAAAGGTGCAATTCTAGTAGCAACAGATGGTAGAGTAATGATGACCTGAAATCTTGACAACTGGTGTCGTGATCATCACTTAGATTATCGCATAATCATTACAACTACTTGCCTACCTCGACTACCCATGATCATTGCACTGACTCCGAGACGCTCAGCCTCCAAGCAAATTCGCTCCTTCATGTCATGATCCTTGACAATGTGAATCTTGTAAGGAATTTTTGCATCCGATAGCGGTTTGGCAAGGTCACAGCTTTTAGTGTTGGTGAAAGCATCAAATTGCTCTTCCATTTTCTGCTCGTCATCAAAGGGAATAACTTGGTCTGAGGCGCCCCAATCTGCTCCGAAAAGAACACTCGTAGGTCGCACATGCAGAACCACTACATTGTCGCCAGGACGAAGGTAGTTTTCCACTGCCCACTCCACCGCATGGGCACTTTCATCACTCAAATCGACTGCAATCGCGACCTTTCGATCACATCGTCGTGCACTTGGAAGTGACATGGTTTTTACTGCAATACAACATGTATTCATGACAGACTTAGCGATATTCAAGCACAAAATCAACCTCCAAGTGCAAGTCTCATAGTTTCAAGATCCACTTCAATAAGAATGACCAGGACGCTGAGGAAGATGTTAAAGGTAAGAATGATTTATTTTTTTAGAAAGAAAAATATGTAGCCGAGTAAGATACTGATGATGACTGGTGGGAATATTGCCTTCTAAGATTCAGAACTGAAGGAGAGCAACTGAATATAGTAGTGTAACAATTCCGCGAATATGTTCGTATGATCAATACCTGGAATGACCATTGGGGGAATCGATGATAGTCTTACGACCTGGGAGCTACATTTGTACAGTTCAATTCTAATGATGTCTTAAACAGAATAGAAAATACAGTATGAGCAAAAAAGAGTAAACACGCGCATCACAGGCTTGGATATTTATCCTTGTGTTTCTTTGTCGGCATCATGTCTCAGGTTACCCCGATGGTCAAATGGAGCACCGAAAAAATAATAACAGCAACTCACATTGGACGCCACCAATTCGAAATAAAGAAATCGAAATACGTTGCAACAAAGCGCAGAGAACATCAGTAGAAATTTACACATTTCCATCACAAATTGTACCATGATTCAATTGTCTCGGACGTCAGTAGCTACGAACTTTCAAACAACACATCTCAATGCCTGTATCCTCTCAAAATGGGTACCACATCGTTGTAAAGTTACGCTCGAACTCACACTTCGACGTAAGTACCTGGTGAGTCACTTTTCTACTATAAGTTATTCCTTTAATAGAGAACTTCGCATCAAATAGTTCAACTTCATTTCCAGTTCTTCATGACCGACACACGAAATGATTCACAAATGTCTTAATCAGTCCAAAACCAGAAAACAGCAACATCTGCATGAATGGTAGGCGATGAATCGCAAACACGCTAATCATCCATCAACCAACTCCAAAAACAAGCACACATCCCAACAACCAATCCGCAAACCACAGTCACAAAACTCTCCAAAAAAGGAAACAAAAATTATTTTTATTTTTTTCTAAAATAAAAATTATAAAACAAATCCATACCTGATACCGCGAGCTACGTCACAACACTATCACCCACTCCAAAGGCTCCAAATCACAGACGAAAAAACTTCTTGCTCGTCTCCAATTCTACAAAAGCACGTCAGCTTCACCAACCGATTTCGCAAGCCAAACCGAACCTAAAACCTCGTGAGAAACCTCGACAGAGTCATAGCAACGACGAGAACATCCGGAAGCACCAGGTTTAAAGCATCGCGGGCACCGAAACACGTCATGGACGAGGACGACGACGAGGAGAGTATGGTAGAGTAGCTAGCTAGCTAGGCTGAATGGAGGCTGAATGGAAATTGCCCTCCATCAAAGGAACCAAATTACTACACCCAAACCAGCAAAGCCAAGCAAAACAAAACAAAACAAAGCAGAGGGATTGAGAGGGACCGGTTTTCAGGTCCACACATTCCCCCCCCCCCCCCCCACTCCCTCCAATCTACCATTCCCTTGAAATTCCTTCCCCCGAAGAAGCTTCTAAAAAGGGCTCTCGAAAATCTACACTTCAAGAGGAGACACTCCGTTTGTAGATGTGGAGTGGCGGGTGACGGGGATGCCCTTAGCCACGTCATCACCAGTTGTTTTCCTTTCATCGACGATTGTGAGTCTCTAGAACAGAACTAGGATGGGCCTTTCACTGTTAGGAGGGTTTATTGTTTTTATTCATTTTGGGATGCTTAAGTGGTGATATGATATGTATGAATATATTTATTACATTGAATAGATTGGGTATAAGAGGTGATATGTTACGTATGAATATATTTATTATATTGAATAGATTGGGTATAAGATAAAGAGACAAAGAAGCCTTCTCATTGGCCAAAATCAAAGAAATTGTTATCAAGCATAAAGCGATGCATAACATGTAGAGAGCTCTCCACTTTGTTATCTACACATCACATCATTTTACAACACTTCTATGCCCAATGGCAGAAGTTTCTGCTAGTGTAGATATTTTTATGTGTGTACATGTGAGTCTCACACAAAGAGAGACTAGATTCAGTGAGACACAAGATCTATTTGGGAATTAAACTTAAGTATGTTGTTGATCTAATTGATTTGTTTGCATTTACCTATAGCAATAATAACTTCTAATGCATCATAGTTAGTTTTTGCTAAATATATTTCTTATATATATATATATATATATATATACACATACACATGCAAGAAAGGAAATTCTTTAGCAAGCTATATAATTGATGACTCATAGTTCTTTTTAGGAGTGTATTTAAAAATATTAAAATTTGATTAATATATTTATATTATTATTGAAAAGATTTTGATATCCATACCTGAAAAATTGAAACATTTAAACATTCAATTTTGAATTTTTTTGATTATAATGACTTCATATCAGTATAATAAGCTAATGTTTAAAAGCAAATTTTTTGAAACATGATCTTTAAAATAAGATAAAATATAATAAATCAATAATCATTAATCAAGAATTTTATATTTTGATTTAAAATAATAACTTCAATCAGTTAAGACTTAATTCTTGTTCTCAAAAACATTCTAAAATTAACAAAATAAAATATCTTAAAGTAACAACAAATAGTGTATAAAATTGCATTAATTGAAACTAAAAATGATTATTTATTTTTACTAAATTATGTATTAAAAAATAATCATATTAGATAAGAAATATTAAATATTATATATATATATATATATATATATATATAACAGAATTAAAAAAAATAAATATAATTTTAAAAAATATAATAAAATCTCTTTCTTTAGAAATAAATCAAGTTATCTAATTCTATTAGGCTTCTTAAAAAATAATTACTAAAAGAAGAATCACATTCCTCACATATTTCTAAGTTATCTATTTAAAAACCAATATTCCTAAAGGAAAAAAAATCATTTAAACATTTATCTTAGAAATAAAAACTATGTACTTTTTAAGTGTTAATAATAATAACAAAAATGCTAATTTATGTGAGAGTTTCTAATAGTAATTTTAATTGTATGATAAAAAATAAAATATTAATTTTAATAGATATTGGCCAAAATATGTATATTTCAAACATACAAGTATAAAAATATCATTAAAAAAATTTATGAGGTTTGTAATGCTTATGAATAAAGTAACTTAATTGCAAGAATTGTATTTATAATAATTTATTATAGATAAAAAGCTTCTCACAGCGTATATTTAAAAATATCTAAAAATAAATTTGGATGTAAAAAACTTCTTTAAAGCTTTTCAAAAAATGATCTTCTCTATCTCACATACTTTAATTTATTATGATTTATTTCAAAATTATTCAATAATATGATTATTAATCTAATAATTCAAATGAATGTTCAATAATTTTGTAATAATTTTGATTTTATTTATTAAAAAAAATTTGAACTTGAATTAATAATTATGCTTTGATTTATTTTTACTATTTTTGTTGGTATTATCTATCTCATATATATTGTCAATTTTCAAAAAAATCATTATGATTTTTGTAAAAAGACATAAAAATTATTGAATTATCTAAAATAAAATCTATTATACATATATATATATATATATATATATAGATAGACAGATAGATAGATAGATAGATAGATAGATAGATAGAATTTATAAAAGTATTGATACCATCTTATTTTGGATCTACCTTTATAATATTTTGGTTTTACAATATTATTAAGCTATAATAATCCATATTATATTATAATATTTCTACTACTTAATATAAATTTTTAAAAACTTATGTTCTTAAAAAAAATTATAATATAGTGTAATAATTTTTTAAAAAATATTTTTTCTCTTTCTTTTATATCTTTTTAGAATTATCATTTTTTTAATATTATATAATATTATATATCACTTATTTTTAAATATTATAATAATAAAAAAATAATATCTATTATTATAGTAAACTTATTGTTATCAACACAATAGAACATGTTTATTACTGGATATAAAATAAAAAAGAATGTTTACATTGATTAATGCACATAAATGTACTTGTTTATATATTACTATGCTATTCAAAGTTGCTGTAATATTATTTTGTACTAATTCAATTTTTTTTTAATTAAAAGAAAAAAAATGCAAGTTCATTCTACTTCTAAGAAATATTTGCAAGGTGTTGAGTTGTCTCTCTTTTAGATGACCTTATTGCTTGCTTTATAATTATGTGTTTCAATATTCTTCCTCACATCATTATTGTTGGTATGATAAGTGCTTTCTTCTATAAGCTTTTATATCATTATTCTTGAATATTGAAAAGTTGTCATCTGCTAAGATTATGGACATGCTTTTGTAGACTTTTTGGTTGGTTTTTTAGCACTTTGGATGGAAAGCTTTCAAATTTTATTGTTGAAATGATTATTGGACTCAAGAATTCTCATTATGGAGACTTTGAAGTAAAAGAAGCTCTCTTATCTACACTTCCTAATGCCTTCGTAAAAGAATATATTTGACCAAAGTTAAAGAAAAAATATCAATTAATTACATTGCTGCAACTTTGAATGATAAACAAGAGATAGTATTGTGAAGTTGGATCAATATTAGAATGAGTAGCAGTAGAGTTTATGAGGATTGATAGAACTATATATCTTCAGTATGTGGCTTTGAGAAGTTTAGAATATATTAATATTTTAATTCTTTCAAGTTCATGTCTTTAATATCCACAAACCAACCACAATTTATGATTTATCGATTAAAATACTTATATTGCCACTATCTTTGCATTCAAAAAGACTAAAAAATCACTCAAAGATGATATAGTATTAAACTAAAATGGCTTTTTTTAAAGAAAAGAAGATTAGAAAGTCTTGAAACAAGACTAAAGACTAAAAAGGCATCAATAAAAATAAAGAAGGCTTAATTCTTGCCTCCATATATACTCTTAACTATGAGCTATATGGCAATATCTTATAAGACCTCCATAACATGTTGATTTCATAAGACATGCATCTTAATTTGTAAGGCAAATATTCTATATATACACCATATAGTTAGCTTGTCTCCAAAGCTATCTACACATGGTTAACTTATTGATCAAGTTTTTAATCTATCAATCAACTACAAACATATATAAAATTAGAACAATATTTATGAAGCTTCTAGAAAGCTTTATTAGAAAATTTTATGAAATAAATCTATTTTTATTCAATTTTATTTAATCATATAGATAAATAATAGAACAAATATATATATCCATGATATTGTCCCTCTTTCTAAGAATGAATTCAACAAAGATCAATACTGTGTAATAATATAATTATATAGTAAAAAATAAAAACAAGGATGTTATCATAGAAGAACTTAATTGAAAGATGTAAAAAAAAAATAAGGATAAATAATAGAAAGATAGTAAAAGATTTAGTCTTGATATTATCTTTTTTAAAAAGAACTTCTATTTACTTTGTAAAGACATAAATGAACCAAATCAATATAAATGAAATTTGAAATAAAGATATTTATATTTTAAAAAAATTAAGAATAGATTAAAGCAAAATCTATCTCAAATTATCAAAAATTGATACTCAAAGAAGACCAGTTGTCAATCTAGGTTGAAATTAGACCAAAGAAACAAAATTGCATCTATAAAAAAATTTTAAGATTCTTTTGGAGATCAAAGAATAAGATTTGAGAGTACACTTGAGGAAAGATTTTTAAGCATTAGTTTTATATTATTTGAATTAATATTAAAATTTTTAAGGATTTTTAAAGTTAATAATATTCTTGGTGGGTTTAGATTTTGAGAAATAAAATATTTTTATAAATTGAAAGATTTCTTGAATTTTGTGGCATATATATAAATAAAATTTGAACAATTTTTTGATTTGCTTTTTGTAAATATTTATGCAAAATTTGACATCAATCAAATAGTTAGATTAAAGCATATGAAGATTTTTGTTGGTTGATGTCTTAAAAATTAGAGTTAAAAATGATTATTAGCCTCCAAACTCTAATTTTTAAGACATTAACCAACAAATATTTCTAAGATCTTCAATAATTTTCCAATTGTATTGGAGTAAAAATTATTTGCATAGATAATAGACTTAATTTTTAATATTTTTATGAAATTTGAAAGTAATTCAATGGTTTAAAAAGGAAATATTAGCATTGAAAGTTCAACATTAAGATTGGAGTAGGAAGCCTCCTAACATCCAATTGGATTATCTTGCATTTCTCTCATTTGATAAATGCGATCAATTTCATCCTTCTTATATTATTTTTATAAAATTAAATTATTAAAAAGTATATAGAATTTGAATTGATATCAATAGTTTGATCATTAATTGTTGAGGTTTTAATTTGCTATAGGATTTATTGAAAGTTGTTTTAAGATTTAGAATTTAATTAGAATTTGATTAGGATTTGATTTAGAATTTATTTAAGATGTAGATTTTTCAT